CCCTATTACCATATATACAATTGCTGAGTATGAAGAGAAGAATGTACATATGCTTTCAGGATTGCCCAGGGGTCTGGCTCCACCCTTGGAGACATAGTCCCTGGGTCATAACTTTGAAACGGTTAAGATCCCCACCCCAAAACTGTATACAAATGCTGGGCATAAAGGTACCCTTGGAGACTTAACCCATGGGTCATAACTTTGAAACGGTTAAGATCCCCACCCCAAAACTATATATACAATTGTTGGGCATAAAGAGACGAATGCAGTCATGATATTATAATTAATCCTGGGTTCTGGCCACAACCCTAGGGACCTAGTTTCTGAATCACAACTTGGAAACAGTTGAGATCCCCACCCCATAACCATACATAAAATTGCTGGGCACGAAAAATTGAATACAGATATGATACAAGGATTGGCCTTGGTGTCTGGCCCATTCCCTTGGATCTTATTTGGAGAATATTTTGCCATGATTACTTTTGATATCCAGGTGAGCGATACAGGCCCTCTGGGCCTCTTGTTATAACTTACCAACCTGGAGATAGTGTTTAGAAAGAAAGAAACGTTTTCGCCCAGCCTAATATCATGATGATATTTACACGTATGATGTAATGGTATGTTTCGGTGGATTTCTTTATGTTCTAAGTCAGACAGGGAATTTTAATATCGGATGAAAATTATCACCTGTCCCAGCTAGTAATTATACTGTAGACTGTATGTACCCCTCTTCCTCTTAGACTAAGTGTATAGATAAATTCAATAGGAGCATTTCATCTGATTTTGGTTTTCAAACAATTGTTGTAGTATTGGAATAATGGTGCAATGATATAGCCTTTAAACCTATTGGGGCTGGTTACGTTGAATTGATTGTACGTGTACGTACACTGACAGTTGGTCATACCATGTAAATTATTGTGCAGTACAGTTCTCAAAGTGTCCATCCTTGATAACCAGGGTTACGCTCACTTTCAATCTCTGCTCCCCTGGAATATGTCATAGCAAAATCGAAGGCTCATTGTGCACCGCCTTGTGGATGAGACGAGAAGACTAGTTTGATCCTTTGATGTCCATCAAAAGAATTTGCGGTCGCGTAACGGTAAAACTTATTACGTTGAAGTTGGGCATCGCTCCTATAATCTTCAAAGGATAAGTATCAGCCTAGTGATTGGTCAGGTGTTTTTTTCACCTGACACCAATCAAATTACTAGCTGTGTACCTTCAATTTTGCTATATCGAGGATGCAATGTGTCATGCGTGCATAAATTTACCCAATAACTTGCTACCAACCAAATCGATGATATGATAATTTGTTAAACACATGTTTAAAAGGTATTTCAATGGGACATGTACACATTAACACAGCAAATTTTGACAGCACTTCCGTTAGCCTACGAGTAATCAGACGATTGGCTACCCTGTATTTTCGTGCGATTGACACGTCCTCCAGCCTTCCCTACAGAAGGATTTGATTGCTGAACATCTCCTACACCAAAACTTACCTGGTAATCGGCCACCCAGTTTTATTTCCGCACTATTATACTGTATACTGGAAAATTTTGTTGCAGTTTAATTTTCGCCTTCTTTGCCCTCCGTAATGAGGGCGAATTTATCATTACAGCGAACATTAGCAAACAATATTCTATGTATAGTTATCAAATATAAAGGGGGAAATGAAAACTGGGTAAATATGAATTTTACCGACAAAGGGCGAAAGTTTGACATGGCAAACATTTCCTTGTATACAGTATTTAGTGTTCTCGTCACCTTGCTGGCGGAGTTCGGAGTACAAAAGGTATGTCACTGTGACCTATATCCTCAGATAGGTGTACAGTATATAGTGTACTCGTCACCTGGCTGGCGGAGTTCGGAGTACAAAAGGTATGTCACTGTGATCTATATCCTGAGATAGGTGTTCAGTATATAGTGTACTCGTCACCTGGCTGGCAGAGTTCGGAGTACAAAAGGTATGTCACTGTAACCTATATCCTGAGATAGGTGTACAGTATATAGTGTACTCGTCACCTGGCTGGCGGAGTTCGGAGTACAAAAGGTATGTCACTGTGATCTATATCCTGAGATAGGTGT